TGCTATTTTAGGCAATGTCTTGGGCTGACATTCAGGCACGGGGCTTTTTGGCAGTCGAACAGGGTCCTGGCTGCACAGTACCTTGTTAATGTTTCTGGCCCTTCTTGGGCATGTATAACCCTTGGGTCTCAGGTTGCAGCCAGTTGTCTTGACTTCGAGTTGAAGAGCGAGTGGCGGCCGCCTCCCGGGTAAGTCCTTTTTTCCTTTATCTTTCGTTAGGTAGCTCCAAGGAGCCGAAGGGGCTCTTGGCTTGCCTGTGACGCCTTGTTGGTTGAAGGCTCTTGGCTTGATTGTGAGGCCTCACTGGTTGAAGGCTATTGGCTTGCCTGTGACACCTCACTGGTTGAAGGCTCTTGGCTTGCCTGTGAGGCCTCACTGGTTGAAGGCTCTTGGGTTGCTTGGGAGGCCTCACTGATGCTGTTACCAGACATAGTCTTGGCCAAAAACGTTTCAAAGTTACTATGAAAACAAAAAGTTATTTTAAAAAATATTTCACTAATGGTGTGGCACTGTGGTATGACATGAGGGTCTGCAACACATGGGTTGTTTGGCTTGACCAGGCCTGGACGGGTCCACTTGGGGCAGGCAAGCATGTTACATAAGCCGCCAGGCGGAAAAAAATCCTAATACTTTTGGAGCAACAGCTCTACGAGCCTCGAGCCACACCTGTACGGGATTAATACTGTACAGCCAGATGCCTGCTCTTCTGATCCAGAATAATCTCCGCTTGTCCAGCTTGGTGTCTGGATTGGGCAACATCGGTAGCAAGTTAACCAGCTTCTATGGACATTTTGGCCGGATAGGGAGATATCTACCAAGCAGAAGGAAGAGTAATACAGTGGTGCCTCGATTAACGAATTTAATCCATTCCGGCTCCGAGCTTGTCATGTGAAATGCTCATCTTGCGAAAACAACAGCACTCTCGTCAGAGGCATCCGAGAATCAGCGGGAACGCTAGGAAGCACCATGTGGTTTGCTCGTTAATCGAGCAAAAGCTCGTCAGTCGAGACAAATTTTCTGCGAGTGGCTCGCTCGTTACTGGAGTCGCTCATCACTCGAGGTTCCACTGTAATTATTAATTGGTTATATTATTACTATAATAATTATGATAATAAGTGTAGCAATTAGTAATTATTACCCTTCCTTCTGCTTGGTCTTCAAGGAAGCCAGCCACAGGGGGAAAGGGGGCTGTGACGATCTCTGTCTGGAACCTGTAGGTGCGGGGCTCATGCAGCCCAAGCTGTGCTTTGTGAGGCTGGGGTCATTCTTGCACTTGTTGGGCTGGTTCTTCTCCGGCCCTGACCGGCGGTCTCCGGGTTTGGAGTCCCTGTACCTTCTTTTACCAACTTCGAGGTTAACTCCGGAACTGGAGCCCCTAGGGCAGTTCATTGTTGCCTTCAACCTCGTTCTGACAGTTCCTGCAACGGCACTGGAACCAATCGTAATGGCATTTGCCTTTCCATTGGAGACTTTCAGCGTCGTGGAAAGGGGGAACCTGCTGTTTAGGTGACAGCCTCTCCTCCATATCAACCTACCCTGGCTTTGCGCCCTGGAGAGGGGAGATCATTCCAGAACGACAACCAGAGCGCAACTCCATAGTCTACTATGACTGATGGATGCCTACTACTAGGGAGGTAACTTATTCCGGTCAGGGTTTTTGAAGGATTAGGGCTTTTTCCGGATTGGCAAGTCCCGGATTAGCAAGCTTCTACAGTACTAGAATAATATTTTTGTTATACAATTTATGAAGTATATGCTAACATTCAATTTGGTGGACGAAGTAGAAATATGTTTAAATTTGGAACAAAGTGAGTATTCAGTCCAAGACCATCAACAGTGTTAAGTTATTACATAGACACATTGTAGACAATATTTAACTTGTTTATTAGGAGTATATTAATACAAAACTTTGGTAGCAGAGTATTAACGTTTCATGGACAGACATTAAATATAGCAGATAAATTAAGTATTGTTGGATTGTGCTGGTTTATCCACAGTACACTGTGTTGGTGTAGGTCCAGGTCCTTCACATTTCTGTTGTTGCTCGGTCACTTATTAACTGTTTATAATATTACTTTCTCTCTGGCCACTTATGTAATGATTAGCTGCATATTCTTCTTGTACTTTCCTATCCTGTACAACCTCCTCAATATTTCCTAACGAAAGTTCTTTTTCCCGTTGAATTTCCTTACCTAACCTATTGTATTCGCTAACATCTGGCTTTGATTTAACTTCAAGAGCTATCTTTAATACTTTATATTCCTCCTCCACGACTGTTCCTTTAGTTTCCCAGTGATTCTTATCTTTGTGTAATTTCCTTATTTGACCTTCCAGGGCTGTGACTTGGTTTCTCAAGTTTTCATTACTGCTGCTCACATTCTTAATTCTATCCACAATCATTTCTATTTTTGGCAACCTGTTGTGAAAACCACTCCTGCTAATTCCTGCTAATATTTTCTTCATCAAAACCATCAAAATTAATCTCTTCCGTTGTGTTTTGTCCTGTTTATGGACATCTTTGTTTTGGTCACCACATGTTCTTATACTATTTCTTGTAAAAAACCAGCATTGAATGTAATGAAACACCATTTTCTGGGCGAGTCCCGGAGGCTCCCTAGAGCTATCCAGGCTGATAGGGATAGTCCTAACTTTTGGCACCAGTCGATGTGGGTGAAGTTCTAGGCCTACCAAGGACCACAGCCAGAACCTGGCCCCCTCAGAGAGGCACGAGAAGCAATGGCCTATAGAAATGCACATGTGATTTTGGAGCATTCTATATCTGCCATCGACCGGGACAGGCACCCAGAAAGGTGAGCACCTCAAAACAAACCCCTATTCTGGTAAAACCAATGAAAATAACGAATCAAATGGACAGAACTCGCCCAAGGAAAAACGAACAAACAATCATGACGTCACACGAGCCGCGCCGCATGTCTGCGCAGCTTCCCCCTCCCTGGGAGGGAAAATGGCCGCCCGCACCTCAGGCGGAGAAATGCGGGAAGCCGAAAACCTCCGGAACGACGGAACTGACAGATCCACAGGGACACGGAACCGAACCCGGGGAGGAGCTGAACCCAAATCCAAGTCGTATGCAGAGGGAGGGAAAAGAAAACCCCACTCCTTGTAACAGCAAGCCCCGCTCGGTGGGTCGGAAAACCCAGACGGGGTCCAACAGGGCCGCAAGGCCCCAAAGTCAGCTCCTCCCCAACCCCGGGGCCGAGTCGTCCTCCAAAGCCCAGGCCTCACAAGAAAAAGACGGGGCAGCCGGAACAGCAGGAAGAGGATGGACCTACTGGTCCGACACCGGAACTATGGCAGGAGGAACCGATTTAAATGCCTCCGCAGCCACCCCAGAAGGGGCAACCCCCGAAACCACCCGAGTCTCAGAAACCTCTAAACCCTGCCCCGACCCCGAAGGCCTCAAACGCTTAGGAGCCGTCTGAGGGTGGACATGAGGCGCGGCTTGTGTGACATCATGATTGTTTGCTCGTTTTCCCTTAGGGGAGTTCTGTCCATTTGTTTCGTTATTTTTGCTGGTTTTACCAGAATAGGGGTATGTTTTGAGGCGCTTACCTTTCTGGATGGCGGTCCTGGTCGATGGCAGATATAGAATGCTCCAAAATCACATGTGCATTTCTATAGGCTATTGCTTCTCGTGCCTCTCTCAGGAGGGGCCAGGTTCTGGCTGTGGTCCTTGGTAGGCCTAGAACTTCACCCACATCGACTGATGCCAAAAGTTAGGACTATCCCTATCAGCCTGGATAGCTCTGGGGAGCCGTAGGGAGCTGTAGGGAGCCGTAGGGAGCCGTAGGGACTCCCCCCCACCACCCCAAAAAACTATTTCTGCTTTGTTTCTGTAATTTTTTGGGTTCTGTCTGTTTGATAGATATTTATACATGTTTATGCACTTTTTCTTCTAATATTTCTTGTTTATCCCACCTAAACAAGAAACATCAGAGTGTTACTTATGTGTGCACAATATTTTTGAGCATAGTAATGTTCCACACATGTAACTATATAATGTCCTAAAATTAAAGTGTATTGAATAATATTACTGCACAAAACTAGAGAAAACAGACACACTGAAATAATTATGTAAAAATATAATTGCAGCAGCTCCCGCTTCCCCCAATTACACCCACAGTGTGTTACATTACTGGAACTTTAAGAACAAGAGGTCATAGATATAAACTAGCTAAACACAGATGCCGAAGAAATATAAGAAAATTCACTTTCGCAAACAGAGTGGTAGATGGTTGGAACAAGTTAGGTGAGAAGGTGGTGGAGGCCAAGACCGTCAGTAGTTTCAAAGCGTTATATGACAAAGAGTGCTGGGAAGACGGGACACTACGAACGTAGCTCTCATCCTGTAACTACACTTAGGTAATTACATACAATTTTTTTTTACTTTTAGTTTCCCATGATCAGAAAACATATTTCAGCAATATTAGGGAGAAACAAATTTGAAAATACTTATTATTTATACACACCACGGGATTGTCATTATTAAACTAATGCTCAGTTCAGAGGTTAAATACAAATGATGAACACACATTCTTGTGATCATTTTAATATACAACCTAATTTGAAAAACTAAACTTTTAAACATTTAAATGTTTTAAGATTCAAATTGAGTCACATTGAATATGCAGGCTTGGATAATAATAATAATAATAATTAATTTTGTTAGGGGACAGGCAGCCTGTGTGTGCATATGTCAAGGGATCCCCAGCGTCGAACTACTGATCATTCCCCAGGATACAACCCCACAACAACCTGACTAACTCCTGTATAACTATTTACTGCCCATTTGTCCCACACAGGATTTAAACCCATAATTCCCAATAACGAGTCAAGAATGAACCCAACTGTATTACCATTTTCCAGTGCAACCAATCATGATAATGTTTTATCATAAGTGAATCATCATTTTGCAGTTAGCTTTGTGGTATAGCAAGTTCTTCTAAAGCCCAGGTCCACTGGTGAACTATTGAACTGACCCGTGATTAATTTATCCGTTGAACTCCTAGCCCTGTCTTTCTCCATGGGAGGCTGGGAGAGCTTGATGGTAGAAGCAAGGTCCTGTTTCGTACTGAGGTCCTCCAGTCGTTCTCCATCACCATGCCCACACCCGCCACAGGTGTCCATGGCTACCTGTAATGCAGTACAAATATTACATTTCAAATTGAAAAAACATTGGATACCAAGACTTTTTTCTTGGTATCCAATGGATACCAAGAAAATTTGGAATTCTTCCAAAAGAATTCAGGATCCTAAAGCAGATTCTTATTATTGCTCAGAAATTTATGGCTTTTCGAGTTTGTTACAGAATATACCACAATCAAAATTCAGGCAAATGTGACCAATATGAGAAAATATAGAAGAGCACCAATTAAAGTGAACAAGCATTTACATCCTCCTTCCCCTTTGTGGACAAAAAACACCACAATACAGGCAGCAAAAGCATAATAGTTGCCAAACATTATTTTTATTTTATAGAAGATGAAAGACAATGTGGGATGTTCTCAGCAAATATCCATAAGCTCTGCAACACAATCAAAGACGTTTTAAAGTACTGCATGAGATTTAAAACTCCTGCTAGTACAAGGAGCTCACATCTGCTTCCCCACGCCTCTGTAAATGCATGCCATCTTTGACAAAATATGTGGGAGGGCACCCCTCCTTGATATGAGGGCCTCACAACTCAGAAACCACGAGTAGCACACATGCACCAGCAGCCTGTACCCCACAGCATCACTTAATTAATAATGATGAAATAAGTAACTGGAATTATTTGATTATGGTGTCATTAAAAAATTAAGACTATGTGATTAAGACAATGTACAAGGTTCAGATATCAGTGAACCTAATGCTGGTTATGTTGTTCAAAGTACTGTACAAGATAAACATCCACACCACAGAGCCACGAGTTGGTGCTTCTATGCATCATGAACTGGGACACCATTTCTTTAGAAAATATAATTGTGGAAAATGATTCACATTCTGGATTTAATGACCGAGATTCTGACAATAAATAATAGCAGTGTTGTGGCTAGTTAGTGATGTGTTTAGTACAGTACATGGGGAGGCATTTTGCAGATTAAAGTGGTCAGCTCATCATCATGTGGTACTATGTCGTGTTTGGACCCACCAAACCAATTGGTTTGTTATCATGAATAAAAATATAAAAAGCTATTGTGACGATAATCTCTTTCTAGAGAGATTGAGCCTGCTCTTCCCTACTTCAAGTTACGTCCAGTTAACAAGTATAAGATGATACATTCAAGATACGTCCACCGGTAGCACAAAACGTTTTGACCAGGAGGCAAAACGTACCCAAGATCCCCCTACTCCACACACCCTCCACGCCGGCTTGTCGTCAAACCAGCAAACTACCCATACCAGCCTGCCTGCTCCTGATTGGTGACTCGCCGACTGCGCACCTGCACACTGCACCTCCGCGCCATCTACCTGAATCGACGTCGGAGCCCTGACCAGCTATCAACTTCAGAATATTCTTTGTGCTCTTAGAGTTGACATCTCTCTCTGGCATACTAAGCTCACTGGCTTGTATACGAAGGGAGGTCTCAGCCATAGCCGATATTCTCAGCACCATTTTACTATTTCACCTTTATACTATAGTGTCTCACATTGTCTTTGCATTTATCTTTGTTATTTAATTGTACTTTTAATTCCCCCGAGATTTGTCTTTACAGTATTTTAATTTATGTTTAAAGTAAATATATTAAAGTTTCATTGTTCATACTTTGTGTTTTACGTGTTCCTCCCTCTCACTTACCACAGACAACAGGCAAGCAGTCTATCTTTTTTTTATAAGTGTGACCAGGCATTGACACCTGCCATTGGAGGACTGCCGAACATCTATACTCCAACACTTTCCCGTCACACTATATATAATGTATTTACAATGTAATAACTACAAAACCAATATGTTTTAGTGTTCAAACAATATAATATTGTGCAATACTAGTGACACACAAGTATCTGTAATATTGTGCAATACTAGTGACACACAAGTATCTGTAATATTGTGTGATATTAGTGACACACAAGTATCTGTAATAGTGTGCAATATTAGTGACACACAAGTATCTGTAATATTGTGTGATATTAGTGACACACAAGTATCTGTAATATTGTGTGATACTAGTGACACACAAGTATCTGTAATATTGTGTGATACTAGTGACACACAAGTATCTGTAATATTGTGTGATACTAGTGACACACAAGTATCTGTAATAGTGTGTGATATTAGTGACACACAAGTATCTGTAATAGTGTGTGATACTAGTGACACACAAGTATCTGTAATAGTGTGTGATATTAGTGACACACAAGTATCTGTAATATTGTGTGATACTAGTGACACACAAGTATCTGTAATAGTGTGTGATACTAGTGACACACAAGTATCTGTAATAGTGTGTGATACTAGTGACACACAAGTATCTGTAATAGTGTGTGACACTAGTGACACACAAGTATCTGTAATAGTGTGTGATATTAGTGACACACAAGTATCTGTAATAGTGTGTGATATTAGTGACACACAAGTATCTGTAATAGTGTGTGATACTAGTGACACACAAGTATCTGTAATAGTGTGTGATATTAGTGACACTCAAGTATCTGTAATAGTGTGTGATACTAGTGACACACAAGTATCTGTAATAGTGTGTGACACTAGTGACACACAAGTATCTGTAATAGTGTGTGATACTAGTGACACACAAGTATCTGTAATAGTGTGTGATACTAGTGACACACAAGTATCTGTAATAGTGTGTGATATTAGTGACACACAAGTATCTGTAATAGTGTGTGATATTAGTGACACTCAAGTATCTGTGAGTACATATGTTCAATATAATGTGATACAAATAACATTATTGACAGCCCAATGCACTTGAAATAAACCATGGTAAAAACATTATATATACAATTAAAGTATTATATATTCAAAAGTGTGCAGTTACAGCTTTGTGCAAAAAATGCAAAGTTAGGCTGAACTCTCATCACTGGTTACAGTCGAGGTTATTACATCCACTAGAACATAAGAACATAAGAATAAAGATAACTGCAGAAGGCCTATTGGCCCATATGGGGCAACTCCTATTTATAACCACCCAATCTAATTCATATACATGTCTAACTTACGCTTGAAGCAATCAAGGTATCCTACTTCTTTTACGTTACGCGGCAACTGGTTCCACAAATCAACAACCCCAACAAATATATAATAATTACTTTAATGTTCAAAATGCAAAAAATCACCACAAAAGCGAAATTTCTTATAGGCACGATCGTCATTAAGCGGGCAGCTGTAGTAAACTGAGGTAGGTCGGCCGCGTGACCGGGAACCACGCGCTCGGTCGACCCAAACGTGTACCAACAAATATCATAAGTCGACGACACCATAGGATCTTGAGTCGCATTTTTCGATGAAATTTACATCGTAACTCAAAATTATCGTAAGTAGGGGCAATCGTAAGTCGAGATACCACTGTATATATATATATATGTTGTATCTAGTAGCCAGAACGCAGTACTCAGCCTACTATGCAAGGTGCTATTTGTGTAATAAGCCAAATTTTTCTGAATTTACATATTTTTCAAAAAAAATTCTTATATGATAAAGCTATTCATTTCACTATGTATGAGTAAATTGTTTTACATTTGAGTGAACATTTACATTTACACTGTGAAACAGGATACGTGTTACACATGATTCTGTATTCAGCTAGCGATGTAGACATTCCCGGTAATGACGAATTTGGTTTCTCAGGTAGAGTGGTGAAGTCACCGATGGCACCATGGAGGAACAAGAGACGCATCTTATATACAGATAAGTACTATACAAGTCCATTGCTAGCTAGGTTCTTGATTGAAAATATTACCGGATTGGTTGGCACAGTAAAGGCAGGAAGAAGGAAAAATGCCAGTGTTTGACGGTAGACTTGCAGTTGGTGAGTGCCAGGTACGAAAATGTGATCAAAAACTCTCGGTTCTGTGGAAAGAAGAGAGAAGTGAACATGTTGACAACAGTTCATGATGGTGAACAGTGGCAAGGTGAAACGTGTAACGAAAGAACCAGTATATAAGCCAGATTGTGTTCTTGACTATAATATCAACATGCATTTGATTGATAAATCTGACATGATGGTGGGCACTATCGAGTGTGTGCAGAAAACACTGAAATGAACGAGAAAAGTGTTTTTCCATCTTGTTGACATGAGCATGCTGAACTGCTATAATATGTATCTGGTGAAAACTGGACGTAAACCTAGTTTCCATGCGTTTGCTTTTACACTTGTGACACAGTTATTAGCAAAGTTTGGCAAAGATGTTCCTGGCATACAAAGACCCATCATGAACCCAGTGTTGCAGCATGCTGCTACACCCAGGCTCACACGAACATGGAGGCCTTTCAAGCACACAGACAAACATTTGCCACCAGCTGGGAAGCGTGCAATTGGCCAACGTGAATGCATAGTTTGTAAAACAACAAAAAGGAGAGATCAGAAACGTAAAGTGGTGCAAACATGGTGTGAAGCGTGTGCAGCTCCATTGTGTGCTGTCGACTGCTTCAACGACTACCACTCTCTCCAAGACTTCTGAATGTGCAATAATAGTGCAAAAACCTGTACATAGTGCATGCATGTGTGTAAATATAATAATGAAAATTGTGATTACATAATATATTGGCGTAATGGAAAACATTTGTGTGCACAAGTGTATACTCGATGTATGCAACATTAATTGACATTGACCATGATGTAACATTATATGCAACACAATTAGTGATCAAATACACCTAGACACTGTAAATAAAGATGGGAAAATAAATTCGTGGTAACTGTGGTTGCTTGAAGACCGCGCGCGATGCCTCCAGGACGCACCGTAATTACCTAAGTGTAGTTACAGGACGAGAGCTACGCTCGTGGTGTCCCGTCTTCCCAGCACTATATAACGCTTTAAAACTACTGACGGTCTTGGCCTCCACCACCTTCTCACCTAACTTGTTCCGTCTACCACTCTGTTTGCGAAAGTGAATTTTCTTATATTTATTCGGCATCTGTGTTTAGCTAGTTTAAATCTATGACCTCTTGTTCTTGAAGTTCCAGGTCTCA